AAATTAGAAATGGTTCCAAATTCAGCAACGATGGATGTATAAATAATTATATAAAAAGAAAATTAAATGTAGTAAAGAAAGAAACATAATCACCTATTACAATTGGATTTGTTGAAATCAGGTGATTCCATGCAAACACCTTTCCACCTTGAAGGAATTTTACCAAAACCTTTGTCATTGAAACTCGGAGACTCAGGCCATACTCCTGGATGTATGTACGTACTAAGGATATCACTAATATATTAAGGTTTAATTATTAATTAATAAGTTTGAGCTTCAGTTACATGATATATATAGGCATCTTTTTAATTTAAAATTATGCTATATTAATAGCACACAATAGCATTTTCTTTTTTTTTTTTGGGTTCCTCCTTAATTTAATGTGCACAGAAATATGATGTTTTATTTTATAGATTATAATCTAAATTATAAATACAAAATTTTAATGATTAAAGTACTTTCAACAACTCATAATAAAATAAGAAAGTAGATTTTTTTTTTTTTTTTTTGGGTTTTTACCTGTGTCTATAACTCCAATTATGACATCACTGGATGGCTTATGATTTTTGTGATGGGACCAAGTGCTTCTGCTTTTTTTTTTTTTTTGGCTCCTTCTGCTTCTAAGAAATCCCAAGAACGAGTTGTGTGCAGTTGAAGAAGCGAATTGGGAAAGACAGAAACAACTCCTTCATGGCCTGCTTTCACAAAACTGATACTATAAATTCCTTTCATTTGATTCTTTTTCTTTTTAAAAATTACCTATGTAATGTTTATTTATATTACATACAAAGCTTTTCTTAATGGAATTACCAGATAGTGCAAGAGCTTCTTTCTCTGCGAGCATCGCTGCGAATCCCTTGAAAGCATGCTTGTAATGGTGGATTAGAGATATTCTCTCACTCTCTTCACTGCATAGAGAGTAAAAAATAGCATCTAAATTTACACAAAATTCAAATTAATAATACAATCATGATCAAGATTGTCAAAAATTAATTAATTAACCTTGGAATAATGGTAGATAATAATTGCAAATGAGCCAACTCCGTATCTTCAACATCTCCATTTTCAGTCTTTGATGAACTTCCCATGTAAACAATATAAGGCTGCCAAAGATGACTTTCAATAAAATTCTCGACAATTTTGACGCCAAGAATTAACTTATAAAAACTATAGAGATCTTTCTTTATATGTGTAAAATACATCCAATTATATAAAGATCCAATTGATATTAATTTTTCTTCGATCTAATTAATTAATATCAAAATGAAGGGTGCTGAAAACCTACCTTGGGAGTTTGATTTGATGAAGTAGAAGCAATGACAATAAGCAAATGTAGGCAGATAAAAGGGAGGAGTTGCAGCAAAGAAGCCATGGACGACTATTATTGAAGTATTGGTTTAGCATTCGAGAGGGGGATATAATATATGTGGAAGGAAGAAGTGGATGATTGGATTGTACTCATCTTTTCAAACTTCCAACTTGTCAATGAGGAAATTTTTTGATAAAAGACAATTGGCTGCGTTTGTTTAAGTTTTCATAATAGTATTCTATAATATAATGCTATTTAATAAAAAATGATAGGATTTGAAAATGTGTTTTGGAAAATATTTTCTAAAAATATTAAGATTATTTTTAACCCCCTACATTTGTTAATTTAACTAAACAGCCCACACAATAAAAGTTTATAAATTAACAAAAAAATCCCTCATCCACCCAACTATTGTCAATAGCCGACCACCCCCGAACGGTGACCGGAACCTGCCAGAATAGCGCACGACCGGATTTGGCTGATTGTGCACCGATCTAGCCTATTCAAGCCAGATCGACCATGGATCTGGCTAGAAATGGCTAGCTCTACAACCAAAGATCTGGTTGTTGTTGATGGCCAAAATTTGGCCATCGTTAACAGTCAGATATGGACAACAGTTAGATCTTTGGCTGTAGATTTGGTCGTTTTCGGTCAGATCCATGGTAGATCTTGCTAGAAACGGCCATATCGATGCACGATCTATCAGATCCTGCTAGTTGTGCGTCATTTCGACGGTGATGGCCGGCTGTCGGCAATATTTGGTTGGGTGGGTAGGGGTGTTTTTGTAAATTTATAAATTTTATTGAGAAAATTAATTTTTAAATATTTTGAGTTAAATAGAATATGATTGAATTTTGAGTTGAATAGAAAAATAATTATTTCATTGGATTTGATAAGATAGTAGGATAGGATAGTGTTTAAAAATTTATACAAACTAGCCAAAAGTATTAATAAGGATTTCTTTTATAAGCAAACAACATATTCCCATCTAAGGTTTAGTAAAATCTCAAGCTGATACCCTTGGTTGCATTTCTTCGAGATTCCCACCCTCACAATAATATTGTTTTCTTTATTTTAACAGATTTTTAACTTTTTACTGAATCGCGGCGTACGTTAGCACTCTAAAGTGCACCGACACTATCTTTGTCTGAATAAGGGTTCATGTTAGCAAAAAGCGGCTCATGTTAGCAACATGCAAGCTGACGATTTTTAGCTTTTTTCGACTAATTTCGAAGTCCAAAATCACTTCCAAGACCACCATTGGATTCCCCACATCCTTCTCTACAAAAGTCATACCTTCACTTGCTGACCTCATTCATCGTTTTCGACCACCTTCAACAGTCACTGACAGTGTTAGTTTAAGGGTAGAATCTAGAATAAATGCAACTAAGGATATCAACTTAGGATTGTGCTAAACCTCGGGTGTGAATATGTCGTTTAATCTTCTTTTATTAAGTTTCTTTTGCAAAAAATTGAAGTTTGGATTTAAAAGAAAATATGAATGCTTGCAAGACATAAGAACTTTTAAGTACATGTATGCATGTATAATAGATTTAATTATAGTTTAAATTAATTAATAAAGGGTTAATATATACATTAACGATTAATTATGAAACAAATTTAAAAAATAAAGAAAAAAATACTAAGAAATTTTGTTTTTTTCCGCCTCTCATTCTTTATCTTTATTCCGTAGGAACTAGGAAAGATAAATTTATTAATAAAATACATTTTTCTTTTGTCGTTTATGTTTGTTTTCTTGGTAAACTACATATTCTTAGCCATCGCAAACTTAATTATTGAGTTTGGGTGGGCCTTAGTAATTGGCGGCTGGTCCATTATTGGAAACTTCATCGCTTTCTTAACCCCTGATTGTCAACACACGAGGAGGATACGAGTTCAAAAGCATTAATGATTATATTTTCATATATTTGTTTTAAAAAATATGAAAAGTTTAGTAAATAAATTAAAAAATCAAAAGCTATTGAAAATAAAAGCAAATAGTTAAGATCATTAATCATTTTCAATAATAAAATTAATAGTCTAATAGATAAGATAAATTGATTCTCTTCAACTATAATCTCCGTTCATCTTTTATTTATGTACATATTTCATGGGAAATGATTTTTGAATCCCACCCATTTTTCTAATATATGACGCTAAAATTGTAAAACAGGGATAAAATTGTAAATTAATGAATTCACTATGATTATGAAGATTCAGAAGAGCCATGATTTATCAAAGGGGGGAGAAGTTATCGAAGGAGGCTCAAACTACTATATACAAACTCAATTTCTTTTTGGTTTTTCCTAAATATTTCGTTTTTTTAACCTTTTTGAAAGAATTCTAAAATAAAAAGAAATCGAAAAGGAAAACGCGAATTAAGGTTGGGCAAATTCTTAAAGGTTTTGCTTAAGAAGTTGTTGAATAGTTGGTTGAATGGTTGTGAATATTTGAGTGTTTGATATAAATCCATTACTTTGCTTTGCTTCGTTGTCAATCACAAATATCCGAATAGATTTAGATTCACAAAGTTATTAGTATTTTGTAGATTATTCACAAAGCTATTAGTATTCGTAGTTTATGGTGTTAAAAAAGCAAAAGAAATAATTCTTTTCCTTTTTTCTAAAAAAGCGGCCAAAAAGTAAGGAAAAAAGAAAAAGGAGTAATACAAAAATATCATAATAGACAAAACCTCAACTCGATATACTTAAATAAGGACAAATAGTCTATTATGGTAAAGCCCATAATGTGCCGTTGGGCTTTCCAACCCGTAAAACGATTTGTTAGTAAGAGTTCACAGGTTTATAGACTTAACGACTTTTGCCACTCAAACCATGTCTTAATAATATTTTTTTACTTATAAACTTTTAAATTATTATTTTATTATTTCAATTTATATTTTAATAGTAAACAAAGAGTAAACTTAGTTTAGATTGTTAGGACTTTTGAAGAGGAGAGACTGATGAGTTTTTTGGTTGTGAAAGGTTAGATTTTGGTAATTGAGATTAATCGGAATTTGACTTGAAAGGGATGATAGCGCAAACACTAATTGTTCGATTGCCAACGATTAGAAGGGTCGACGGGAGTAGAGATTGAGAGGTTTTAGTGAGTAGTGATCGAGAAAGAGAATGGTGGTTGCGTGGGGTCGCAACGATATTAGAATAAAAAACAGAATATAAATTTGGATAATAAAGTGATATTTTAAAAAGCTGTAGGTGGGAAATTAACTAACCTTCACCTTTCCTTCTCAAGAGGTGTGGGATATTACAAATGTTCTTCATTTTACATATAAGTATAAATGGTGTTAAAAAATATCATTTTATAAGATCCTCTAATATTACAATATTAATAAAGGAAAACCATTAGTATAAATGTTGGAGATAATTAATATGAAGTAAAAGACGTTGAATTTCTTGGATGTATTACAAGAAATTCAATCTTTAACGAGGATATTATTTTTCCTCACTAAACTAGATAAATCCTTGTTAAAACTCTTTAGATAGAATATCAATATTATGAGATTGAAACAAACATCAATATCATCCAGACAACTGTTTCACCCATCAACATAATAGAAGCAAATATCATGTTGCAGAAAACATATATGGCAACGAAAACTTTCGTAAAACACGTCTCAGATTTTAACGCCACTAAATGACCGTTTTATTATTGTAAAAATATATTGTTCTACTTATTCAACATTCACTGCAAACACTATTCGAACATAGTTGTCTTGACCATCCCACCATGTTATTAAACCAAAGTTGTACCCACTATCAGCCTCCTTGCTGTTGAATGAAACCTTGAAAGAAACCCTTGTTACATTCTCAGCAAACTCAATCTTCTCAGGATATACGTTCACAGCTAATCCTGAAGGAGCTTGAATACTTGCAGTGTAAATGGCATTCATCGAGCCGACGTTTGTCACTGTTCTTTCGATAGTTCTGAAAGCTTTGTGGCGATCAAGCTTGCTTATGGAGATTGAAGGATAGTTTATGTTGGAGATGAGCTCGTGACTGGACTTCTTTGGGCAGTTAAAATTGGTGCTTGTCATTAATTTGATAATTTTGTTTGAGAAACCGTAATAACAAAGGAATCTGAAATAATCTTCCGTTGTTGTTTCAAATACAAATCCTGGATTAAGAGCATTAGGTGGGCTAATTTCTCCAGCCCCTATCTCGTGTGGATTTGCATAATATCCTGAGCTGTTTTTCAGTGGTTTTCCAATGTTATCATACACGGTGGCTGCAAAAATTTAAAATAAAATGTAAGTACCTCGTTATATTCTCATGTTCATAATACAGTTTTATTATGAACATGAAAATCTTATATATCTTATAATCATGTAACTAGGAAAGAACCCAAATACGGATACAAAAATAATTCAGTTGATTAACTAATATAATCAGTAAATTTTCAATCTTAAAAAAAATGTATATACATACCTGTTGTAATAAGAGCGGATTTGATCATGGTAGAAGTCCAAGTAGGGTGCAGTGATTTGATGAAAGCAGCAGCTCCAGCGACATGTGGGCAAGCCATTGATGTTCCAGACATAAAACCATAATCTGCTGGCTTCTCTCCAGTCAGATCACTCTCTTCATCCGGAACTATTGCAGCTAAAATGGCAACTCCTGGTGCGGTTACATCAGGCTGATCGATCACATGAATGTCAAAAGTTGTACATATATAGTTATTTTCTCAGGCTGGCTTGGTTTTTTTAAATGTCAGACCAAGTTTTCTCGCACTAGTTAAATTGTTGAAAAACAAAATTTTGAAGTTTTTTGGAAAGAGAAATTTGACATAAATTTTGTTGTTTTTAGAAATCTTCATATATTTGCTGGGAAGAATTGAAAATTTCCTATACATAGTTATGTCATTTTTAAGGTAAGATGTGTGCTTTTTTTCTTCTTCAAAAACTAGTTATGTGTTAATATGAAGGTTCATGGGATAAGGTATAACCTTGAGAATGTTTTCGGTGAAAGCTCCTGGACCTCTTGATGAGAAAGGTGCAACAACTGGTGCGGGCTTGTACCTTGGAACTTCAACTGTTGGGAGGATCGTTGCTGTTGGATTCCTGTGTAATATATATAGAGGTAAACTTAGCATGTATGTCTTCCTATTATAATGTGATCCTTATAGTACTGATGATACATCGTGACATTCTAATATTTTTTAAGCTTGCTTATATGGAAATCTAAAACAAAGTGATTCGCATGGGCATTAACAAACTTACTTGGTAGAATTGATGTAGTTAATGATCTGAGATCCGTCCGAGTTGCCAACTACTACAAATGGAAATAGGCCTGAATCGGAAGGCACATATTTATAATCTTCATCCACTAAAATGTACCCTTCGGCTAATCTCGTAAATAATTCCCATGGAATAGTTGAATCACTGGAAATGCAAACAACGATTTTTCCGACAGTTTTGTTTGGATCGACAGATCTTATACTGCAACTCCTGCATCATGTTACTGAAAATCAAACTACATACATAACTACTAAAATCAGTAAACATAGTAAAAAGAGAAGTGCTAGCAATGGTAGCTGCACAGCTTGTGACATGGTAATCTAATTTAAATGAAATATTTATTTAATAAAAGAAAATATATATAATATTGGTGAAGCGACAGTCACAGTCGCTAGCATTCCTCATAAAAATTATATCTCAACCGTTAGACTCATCCAATATGGCTACAACAATCAGCTACCTTGCTTGGGAAACAACGCTTAAGTTAGTAGCAATATCCTTTCCAAATGCAAGGGGATAAGTCTTCGATCTGGTGAGATTTGAAAAACTAATGGCGGATCCCTATATACAAAAATACGAAGAAGAAGGCTCATTAAAAGAAATTATTTACAAATTAATTGGAATTAATTAATGTTATGATCTAAACTTACCTGAAAAGATTTCTCATTTGCGAGAAGCACAGTGGATGCTAAATTCCTGTCAATGGTTGAAGCACCAACAGTAAAAACCCATGGAGCTGTTTTTGTAATGGTGGAAGGAAGAGGTCCAGCGTTTCCAGCAGAAGTGACTACCAAAACTCCATGTTGTTCTGCATGAAAGCCTCCAATAGCAATGGGATCATGTAAGTATGGTTGGTTGAAGCCAAGAGAGACAGAAATTATATCTACTCCATCCTGAATTGCATCATCAAATGCCTTCAAAACATTTGAAGTTAGGCAACCGAATGCATTGCAGGCGCTGTAGATAGCAAGCCGAGATGAAGGTGAGCCACCCCTTGCTTTGCCTTGAGCTAAGCCATAATAGCTAGCGTTGGCCACATGGGCACCAGCCGCAGTTGAGGCACAGTGAGTCCCGTGCCCGTCATAATCCCTTGCTGAACCAGTGTCACTCTTGTTGGCCACATAGTATCTTGCGCCAATCAACTTCCTACGTTACATCAAGCAGGGATGGATTCAGGATTTAATATGGGCAAGCTCAAATTAAATAATTTAAAATTTATAATAAAAATAAAGTTAGAAAGGATAGCAAATATTCTATTTACTCTTTATAATTGATAAAGACAATATGGAATATATTTTATTTATCAAATACTTATCTTTTTAAATTTCTCCTTAAACAAACAAATCTATATTTATTTAATAAACAATAGAAAGAATTTGGTGCACTTTTAGATGGGTAAGGCCAAATTACAAAGTAAATAATATCAAATTAGGAAAAAATAAGATTTAAGTGAAATAGAAGCAAATAATTAGAAGAAGAAAAAATCGAGTGGGGTCACCAGCCCCCACCAGCGTCTTCGTATACCTATACCATTATCTCATATTGTATATAATTAATAACAAATGTATCAAACTATCTCATATTTATAGATTCTCCATATTTGGGGTAAATATCTCTTAAAAATGAAAAAATTAATTCTAAGTTTCGTACCACCTAAAGATTCATATTCTTTAAGTGCAACCACCAAAAAAATAAGTAAATGTATTAATAGAAAGAAAAATATACAATCACCTATTACAATTGGATTTGTTGAAATCAGGAGATTCAATGCAAACACCTTTCCACCTTGAAGGGATTTCACCAAATCCTTTGTCATTGAAACTTGGAGACTCAGGCCATATTCCTGGATATATGGACTAATACAGTCAATTATATATTAAAGGCAGAGTCTAATTGGAAAAAAAAAAAGTTATGTATGGTTTTTTAAGCTTCACTTATTAATTTATGTACCAATTCAGTCGATTATTTATTAAAGGGTAGAGTCGATTTTAATTTAATTAACTTAAAAAAACTTAAAAGTATTCATATAATTCTTAAGATATGGAGTTCGATTCTCACTCTGACCCAGTAGCGGATCCAGAAATTTCTTTTAGGGTGGGCTAAAATAAAAATTTATCATATATTACTATTTTTGTCCATTAATATTTTTTTAGGGTGGATCAAAATATATAAATTTACATATTAATATTAAAAAAAAAATTTTGAGGGTGGGCCAAAAAGTGGCTGATCCGCCACTGCTCTGACCCATATTTGCAGCCGCACACCACACATATTCTATAGAAAGAAAAAAAAAAAAAGTAAAAAAATGGGACCCCTGAAAATTATTTAGGTTAAAGAGAATACCTATGACCTAGGGTAGTGGACTCGTGAAAGAGGCTAATTTCCAAATTTTGTATGTGTGTCTCTCGCTCCTATATATATATATATATATATTATATATATATATATATATATATATATATATATATATATATATATTGACTCAGGTAAACACAACAAAAACGTCAATTATATATATAATGAGAAATTTATATAAAATTAAGCACTTTCAACAACTCATCATAAAGAAAGAAAATTGAAGTTTTTGTTTGTGTTTACCTGAGTCAATAACACCAATTATGACATCAGTTGATGGTTGATGATTTCTGTAATTGGACCAAGTGCTTCTGCTTCTTTCTCCGGCTTCTGCTTCTAAGAAATCCCAAGAACGAGTTGTGTCGAATTTAAGAAGCAAATTAGGGAAGACTGATACAACTTCATCATGGCCTGTTTCACAATTAAAAATTTGATTCTTCCATTTAAAATAAAAAAAAAAAAAAAAATCTATAATGTTTGATTAAAATACAAAAAACCCTTCTTAGAGGAATTACCAGATAGTGCAAAAGCTTCTTCTTCTGTAAGCATGGCCGAGAATCCCTTGAAAGCATGTTTATAATGGTGAATTAGAGATATTCTCTCACTCTCTTCGCTGCAAAAAGAGTAGACATAGCAACTAAATTTACAAAAATCCATATATAACATTTTCAAAAGCGTCAAAAGCTAATTAACCTCGGAATAATGGAAGATAATAGCTGCAAATGAGCCAACTCTGTATCTTCAGCATCTCCATTTTCACTCTTTGATGAACTCCCCAGGTAAACAATGTAAGGCTGCCAAAGAATATTTAAAATATAATTACAATAAATTAACAAAAGAATAATAAAAAATTTAAGAATATATTTGGTTGCCAAGAAACTGATGGAACAATAATAACTAGGAAGACTTGAATTGCAACAAGTGTGCTTCTGTTTTATTAGTTTTTTTTTTTGATCTCGATGAATATACCAAAGAAAATGGTGATAAATATCTACCTTGGGAGTTTGATTTGATGATGATGAAGAAGCTATAACAGTAAGAAAATGCAGGCAGATAAAAGGCAAGAGTTGCAGCAAAGAAGCCATAATTGAAATATTAATCCAAGTAATATTTTTGCATTCCAAAGGTGGGTATATATAATATAGTATGTCGTTACAAAAAAAAGTTCCCCGTTAGGTTTTTGGTTTCTCGGTCCACCCCACAATTATGTCACTCGTAAATACACCCGAGATGTTAACAAAGTTTATAAAATCGATTAATTTGCAAGAATCTTTTTGACAAAGTCTAAAGTACATCTACAACCTTCCTCAACAAGACTAATATAGCCTTAAACTCTCTTTGTTCTCTTGTTTCATCTTAAGCAAGTGAACTTCTTTATAGTCATAACGATGAAATTAACTAATTTTATTACTATGAAGAGATTACAATTTAATAGAAAAGTAGTTATAAAAATTATTATTTTGACTTAATTATCCTTAATGCAAGTGGTATAAAAATAAAGTATACATTATATTAATAATTAATTAATGGAGCATATCAAATCCAATGAATAAACATTGATAAAAGATATAGACAGAGTTTCGTGACAAGAAACTCTAAACATGTTTGAGAACCTAAAATATTTTGGCTTCAACAAAACGATGTCCATGCTGACGAGTTATTACGTACCCACAAGTTAAAAAATGTGGTAACAACTCTAAAGCATAAATCATTGTCCTAAACAACTTTAGATGAATATTTTATTTCATCTTAAATATTTAATGTAGCATAACATATATTTTTTTCAATATACAGATAATTATTACTATGTAAAAACAAGTTCCTTAAGATGGGGCCTAAAAAAATTATAAATTATTATAATTTAGAGTTTATTCTTATTTATAATTGGCTTAAGTTGGAACTAAAATTTTTTATGACTACATAAAGATTATTCATATATAAAGTATCACTATATAGAGATTCTACTATATAAAACAATATTTGTTGATTTTTTTCTTTAATTTTTTATTTTATATAAGAAATTTGTCTTTATATAGAAGATGTAAGGGTATTTTACTCTTTACATGTTTGATTATTGTGAAGTAACAAATTTTGTAAACGGATATTAGTATTTTGGATGTTTTTGTTACTAAAAAATAACTATGGGGTTGACCTAATTGACGGAAAACCCGAGGGTAAAAAAAGTTTTAAGCATATAATGTATACGTGAAAGATATTGTACCTTTAGTTGACCATAAAGACTAATTAAGTCGATTGAATTTTCCAAGTGCATATACCCATTATTCCATCATTGTGGAAATTTTTTGATAAAAGTCAATGAAGTTATTAATTTAAGAAAGAAAATGTGAATGCTTAAAAGACATTAGACTTTGAAGTAAATATGGAGGAAAGATCAATTTAATAAATTAAAATTTATTTAGTTTTATATGAATGGATAGAATTTTCAAAAGCATAATATCGTTTTCTCGGTCCACTATATGTTCTTTGCAAACTTTAATTATTATGCTTAGGTGGCCTCTGTAAGTAGCCGCCAGGCCCATTATTGGAAGCTTTGCCACTTTCATATTCGGCAGAACTATTGATATCCAAAAGGTTTCAAAAAGACAAACAGGTACCTTTCGTTAGGAAAAAGACTAGAATGCCCTTTGAAAAATATTAGTTTATTTTTTTAATTATTTTTAGACCCCTTAAATTTATTAATTCCATCAAATACCCCCAGAAAAAAGTTTAAAAATTAACAAAAACACCCCCACCCACCCATACTTGCCAGATTCCAGCGGCCACCACCGGTAGTAGCCAGAATCTGTCACAACGGTCTATGCCACCACCGAAAATGGCTGGTAGTTCACCGATCTGGCCTTTTTCGGCCAGGTCTGACGTGAGAAGGCCAGATCTGGCTGGAAAGTGACGGCCAAAGATGTGGCCGTGGTTGTCTGTCAACGATGGCCAAGATTTGGCCGTCGTTGACAGTCAACGACGGCCACATCTTTGGCTGTCAATTTCCGACCAGATCTGGCCTTCTCACGTCATATCTGGCCTTTTCCGGCTAGATCCGTGGTGGATCTGGCCGAAAAAGGCCAGATCGGTGAACTACTAGCCATTTTCGGTGGTAGCAGCCGGAATCTGACAAGTATGGGTGAGTGGGGGTGTTTTTGTTAATTTTTAAACTTTTTTCTAGGGGTATTTGATGGAATTAATAAACTTAAGGGGTCTAAAAATAATTAAAAAATAGACTAATATTTTTCAAAGGACATTCTAGTATTTTTCCTAATGAAAGGTATCTGTTTATCTTTTTGAAACCTTTTAGATACCAATCTGTGGTTTTTCCAAACCTTGGGTAGGTGTAAGTCGTTTCCCCTTCATATTCCATGATTCCACCATATGTTTGGCTAGCAAAATTTGGGAGGACCAGTCCCCACCCTCTCTATCCTATAAGATTCAGGCACTCTTATGAGATTCAAGCACTCTTTATACCCTATAACAAAACATAAGACAACTACATAATGCAAGTCAGGGGCAATAGACCCTCATGTAGTGAAAGACAAAATATATGACGTTACATGCAAAATGGAACTATGTTGTGTGGGCCCAACCTCGATTAGGAAAGTCACTACTCTGCACGATCCCTATGGTGACTGGGAGGGGGAAAAATTATAAAAGGGTGAACAAAAAAGCTCGATGAGCGGATAAGTTCATAAAATAATTTTTAAAAACATATAAATATAAGTATTTTTAAAATTAACCATTTTAATTTACAGGATATAAATATTATTATTAATGATTTCTTAATTTTGAAAATCTCCTATGTAATAATGAAAACTCTCACCACCTCTGTTTTAAAAATCGGACCAGACCGGTTGGACCGGGAACCGGCAACTTCTCCGGTCCGGTTTAGGTCTCAGGGGGGTTTTTAAAATATTTTAAAATTATGAGGGTTACTTTGAATTTTATAGGGGTATTTTGGAGATATATCAAAAGTTTAGGGATTAATTGGTAATTTTATTGGGGTATTTTTGAAATAAATAAAAATTTTAGGGACCAATTAAACTTTTTAGAGGAATTTTTGTAATATATTGAAATTTAAGAGGTTAATATGTAATTTTTTAAAAATAAAATATTACTGACATCATCGGTCCAACCGACTGGATCGGTTGACCCGTGACTCGGACAATAAAACGGTTTGTCCTCCAATCCGGGTTTTAAAACAATGTTCACCACAACTAGTACCTATGAAAAAATATAAATTTGTCATACCTGTTGAGTGTTCTACACACAGACCCAATGAGGGAAAAATTATTATGCCCAGCAAGCTCTAACATTACGCGGACAAAACAATTAAATCAATCAGACCTAGCAGGAAGCCAATCGCTCAGGCAGATTTTTCATTAATTGTTTCTTGTCAATCTCGTCAATCCATATGTTTCATAATCATGGTGAACTATAAATTATTAATTTTAAATTTTTATCCTTACCTAAACAAAAACTTGTCTCGGAATAATATAATGAAATAGATGGGATTAAAAAAATCCTTTCCCAAATGGAAATATCAAAAATATCTTTTTAGAATCCAATGTGATCATATACAGGTTTATTGTAATTAGGCCAATAATAAATTTAATTATAGTTTAAATTAATTAATCAATACATTAAGGATATGAAACAAATTCAAAAGATAAAAAAAATACAAATGGTATTCTCTAGTTTTCCACCTCTTATTCTTTATCTTCAAATGTGTGGGGAAGAGAAACTTATCGATTAATAAATCACATTAATTGTTTTGTTTTTTTTTTCTCTGTATGATGTGAAAAGGTGTTTTGTTTGTTCTTTTATATGATGTGAAAAGGCCCAACGTGAGTGAATTTTCAAAAGCTGAACATCGTTTTTAATGAGTTTTGTTTTCTTGGTAAACTGTTGACATGCGAATATATAAATATTGATATTATTCTCTTTCCTTTAGTGTAGAGATGACATCATTATTGTAATATATTATATTCTTATATAGTTATCATATTTTTATTTAAATGTGATGTGTATTCCAATACAATACACAACAACTCAATACAAATAATTTAATTTAATTAAATACAATTATGTCCTCTCAAAGATACCTCCCAGCCATACTCCAACTATCTTCAATTGTCTCTCTTGCCCTCTCAATTTTATCATGATATTAAAGCATATCTCTTGGGCATACTCTGGCTCTATTCAATTGTCTTTCTTGTCCTCTCAATTCTAACATGGTGTCCAGAGCTTCTCTGTTTAGGATAGTGAGTAGCTATTTATATGGATATATGCATATTTAGGAAAATTTAATTTGTCAACAAGATGATAAATGTCTAAGGAGGCTGAGTTTTAAGTGGGAAAATTTGTGACTCCTCCAATGTTTCCTAGAAATTTTTCTGGTGCATATTAAATCATTGTCCAACATCTTCCTCGGTGACTCCTGTTGTTCCTTCCTTGGAGATAGTCCTTCAAGGATGGTCCTCCCGTCTCACTTGATCTCCCATTTGGGTAGTTGACTACGTTTATCCAACCACTTTGACTCCATCTTCAAGTACTACTTATCCCACATCTAATGGCAGACAACATTAGCATCTATAACGCAAGCTTAAAGGTAATGAATTATGCAAACTACAAGCTTGAGGGGGAGTGTTGACATGAAAATATGGAATAAGAATATGTGACATTATCCTCATTCCTATTTTATTTTAGATATTATTCTCTTTCCTTTATTACAGAAATTACATCATTATTGTTATATTTTATATCCTTATGGGGGCGTTTGGATCATATAATATTTTATTATAGGGGGATATTATATTAATGAAAAGAAATATCACCTTGAAGATTATTGGGAATGTTTAGGCTTCGTTTGACTCACATTTGGGAATACTACTATTAGTATTCCCAATAAAGTTAAACAATAAATTTGCAAAAACTCACAATATTATTTAACTTTTTTTAAACCTCCTAAATTTGTTAATTTAATTAAATACCCCTAAATATTTTTTTAGAAATTACAAAAAAAACCTCAACAACCCATATTTACCAGATTCCGGCCACCGCCGCCGAAAAATGGCCGAAA